AACATTTGTAGAATAATAAAGTTATATGTGGCTTGGTTTTACTTAGTTATCATCCCTTATTGCTTGGGAAAAAGGAAACATCTGCTAAATACATGATGTATCCCAGTTTTGGTCTTAATTAACTTGGCTAACTATCTGACTTCCATTTGTTCCCAATTAAATTGCCATATCGTACTTATCTTGCATTCATTTTGTTGGATGATAATTGATTTCAAGGCTCAATGGCCCAGCACATTTTAGAAGTTCAGTTGAAGTGCAACAGCAATAACATCAGATCCCCACTGATTGCATTCACCGGCATTAGCCAATTAGTAACATTCTGTCAGCCTGTCTTTTTGATTTGACAGTTCCTCGCACTACTGTTCACTGCAATTTGTTTGTTTGTTTGCTAAGATTTCAGGCAGGTCTGAACCTAGTTTATCTAGCCAACAATAAAATATCGTTGCTCATATTTTTATTGTGGTTGAATTCTATTTGCCTCTGTCATTAACAGAGGACAACCCCATATTTTTAAAATGGTCTTCATATTGAAAGGTTATATTGCAAAGCAAAGCATGCTGCTTATATACCGCCCCATAGTGCTTCAGCACTCTCTGGGCGCTTTACAAGTTAATTATGCAGGCTACACATTGCCTCCCCAGCAAGCTGGGTACTCATTTTACTGACCTCGGAAGGATAGAAGGCTGAGTTAACCTTGAGCCGGCTACCTGGGCTTGAACCCCAGGTCGTGAACACAGTTTTGGCTGCAGTACAGCGGATTAACCACTGCGCCACAAGGCTTTCAGAAGATTCCAGAAAAGGACTCTTCTGAAAAGCGACAATACATTGATTAAAAATGGAGCTCAAGTCGAAAACTGTATTTGTATACCAGAAATTCTATAAAAATATGAACAAAATATCTGACAAGTATCATTCCATAGTTTAGACGGTAGGTTTGCAGGTGTTTCCTGTTGCTGTTTTGTTAAGTTAGGCCAAGATGTTTCTGCCTCACTTCCTGACTTCTATGTCCCAGCGAGAGCTCAGAGCAATGAGGCATTCACACCCCCAGAGGGACTGTGGGTTATCCATCCTCTAACCTATAACCCTTCTGCAACCTGCAAGAAGACATTTAGTACCAGCAATCAAAAAGAAAGTAACCTAGAAGATGTAAGGTCACCAAAAAGGATGGCAGTCTTCACTAGAAAGGAGAACAAAACAAGGCACTGATTTGCATAAATGCATATGCTTATTTATATGTAAGGATGCCAAATTGGAAATGAATTTTATAATTTAAACAGCATCTCATTCAAGTGGAGAAGACTATGGCCAGGCTGCCCTGTATATCTCCAGAGAATTCCACAGTTTACGGTAGATGCTAGCAGTGGGTTAGCAGTTTCAAGACTGCTGATCTCCCCCCTTGTGGCTCTATCTTTATATCTGATTTAGGGTGGTGAACCCTTCAAAAAGAGGAGTGTCCTCAGGGCACCCTTCAAGTGGAGGACTGTCTTCCCTAAAACAAGATATATGGCCTCCTAAGGAGAGAAAAGGAAACACCATCAGAAAAAAAAACATATGCTGAATTTAACTATGACAACAACCTCAGACTTTAGGTTTGAGTGTTTTCTCTTTCATTTCATTTCCTACCTGCTATTCCATAATAAATAAACCAACCAATGGACCGTTTCCTCTTTCATTCCATTTTAACTCCAGCATGATTTCAGATAGATATATACTTCAAATGTGTTGGGAATGGCACTTGGAAAATGGCACAGTGTAGTGCCATGACTTCTGATGCTAATTTTCATGCAGTGGCCCTTTTGTTTTACACAAAAAGAAACACCAGTTTGGGGTCATTTCATTTCATTTTCCCCATTCGTATTTTCTGGCATTAATCCAAAAATAGCTCTAAGAACCTGCAATCACAATCTTAAAAAAGAAGGGCCAAGACAACATAGAATCAATCTTCTCCCAAACCAGACACAACTGTACCTGAGAAAGAAAAGAAAGAAGAAAATCATCTGAGCAACAAGAGAGATATGCTGCAAAGTGTGCCCAAACAATCAGAGCAACTGCCCAGTGGCACACTAGTACAGTCACAAATTCCACTCCCTGCCCCACACTCCCCAAAACACAACAACAACAAAACAGTCCCCCCAAAACACAAAATATAAGCTTTAACAGAATATATGCACAGTAGATTAACCAAATAACAATGTTAAAAAATAGCCAAACTGGGAAAGCAGCAAAACATACACACACAGGGAAAGAGCAAAATAAAAAGCACCAAAATAAGAAACACAGCCCTCTTCCCTAAAACAAACAAAAAAAGTAAGCAAGCTTTTTTTTAGTATTTATTTAAGGACAGGGTAGGGTATGCAAAAAGTAAGGGGGAATAGGGGAAAGGGAGAAAGGGTTAGGGGGATAGGAGAAC